TACTTTTTGGAGAAATCAGCCATTCTTCTTCATCAATCAACCATCAAAGACTAAGTTAGATAATTGTGATGACTTTCTGGAGGTTGTTTCTTATTACAGTTACCATGCATTCCCTTTAGTGATTAAATGTCACTAATTCAAAGGCTCCTATCACTTCTCTGTATCTGGAGACAGCCATGTAAGTGACTTCAGATATGCTGGCATGCTCATCTCTCCCACATTTCTTAAATGTTCAGGAGGATCTCATTGGTTTTAAGAAGGTTCAAGTATATATTAGACATGGAAAGGGGTAACCTAATGCAAACACAAAAACCACAAACATGTTTAATGTCCCTATTTTCCCACCACAACATAGAAGAAGGCAAAAGAAATCTTTAGTAGAAGGCAAAGAAATCTTTTTCTTCCTTGTGTAATCTCTGCCGTCCTGGTTTTCAAAAACACAACAGAAGTATAAAACTTGGTATTGTTTCATAGAATATAGTTATTTAATCATATTTGCTATATGCATTATATTTTGGAATAAAATACACCCATAATATTTTTCAAATTTTGGGTTGTAAAATCAATTTAATAGTGTGTGACAGGCATTACCAAAAATGAAAGAGAACAAAATAGAAAATATCAGTGCATTGCATGTACAAAATAAGGGAAATACTGTTTTGTGAAAACTTTGCTTCTTTTCATATACAGTAAAGTACAATATTCAGTGATTCTTTAGATTTTTAACCCAAATGCAAAGCTCATATGGTAGATAGTTTATATTATGCTTAATTATTTTTAACACCATAGGATTCTTATCTCAGTTGGGGTATATAGGCAAGCATAACTTTCAAGAATAGTAGCTATGTGCTATTTTTAAAATGATCTTTGTCTACCTCAAAGTGATTTTATTTACTTCTTAACAATGAAAATATAACTTAGTATAAAATTATTTTTTCATAGTCTTTCCCACTGTTCTCTTTAAGGTATTGTTTTCTGAGTGTAGTATTGTGTAAAACTCCAAGATCTTATCCAATACTTCTGTGGTCATGTAGATATTTCTCCCTCCCTTTACCTTTTTAAATTGCAAGGTTTTTCCAGGGGTGTCTAGGAGTCTCTTCTTTTTAATCTGCCTGCCCTTTCAATTTATATAATCATGCTTTTATTTCAAAGTATATTTGCAATTTCTTTGTTTATATTTATTTTTCAATTGGGGTGACATTGGTTTACATTATTGTTGGTATTTTGGAAATACAGCATCATCCTTCAGGTATGGTTTCTGTAATACTCTCATTACCAAATCACCCATAGTCCACCACAAAAGTCCGTGGTGTAGCTGTGCCCATATTTGTAATTTTACAATTAGTTCAGTGGTACCCTAAAAACAGCACTGATGATCTTTCAAGTTTTCCTTTTGCTCCCCAAATTATTATTTAGTAATAATAATTGTTAAATTAGTTACTTAATATTAAAGTGATGAGTTACATTCTCTCATGTTTATGTATACCTGAAGCTCCTGTTCAAAATTACAATTTGACTAATTGCAAAAGTAAACCAAAATAATCTGTAGAAATCTGACTGTAGAATTGAGATTACTAGAGGAGTAGGGTGGAAACTAATAAGGGAAGATGCTCCATTGTGGATTATAGGTGCCATGGTGGTTGATTGGTCTGGTAAGATACATCTGAAGACATGTGAGCTTATTCCTTTAAACCATATACCGTGTTGTAAACTGATGTTACTTAAAAAAAAAAAAAAAGCTGCAAAAAAAAAAAAAACAAAGAAAGATTCAGTGCTTTTAATGAGGGGATCTTTAATAGGAAGTAATCCATAAACATAAGAAGCCAGGATCCAAAGATATTCTGTGTTCTCAATGGAATACTAGTCAACAATCAAATAAGTTAAATTCATGCCATTTGCCAAAGTCTGGATGGAGCTGGAAGTGTTGATGCTAAGCAAAATAAGTCAAAAGGAAAAAGATAAATATTCGGACAGTATCACTTGTATATGGAATATAGACAACAGTCAGACAATGCCAAATCTTGAAAGCTGCCCATAGATATGAGGCATCCAGGAGGGATGAGGTAGGTCTTGGACAGCGAGGGGGAAAGAGCACAAGGAAATATGGTCATAGACTATGGGTGCTTGGTGGTGGGAAAACTACAGTGATCACACTTGATGCGAGAAATTGTATTTTGTTCAAAAATTAACCATGATTTCAGATAAAAGTATCAGACTTTTTTTTTAATTAAAAAAGAAATTAGAGTTAAAAAAAGACTCTGTTTCTTTTGTACAGGAATAGTTGCTAATCTTGCAATTTTCATAAACTCCATCTGTTTGTTTCTCTGTTATTGGCTTAGTGTTGTCTGGTTATCCCTTGCATCATGTTCTTTTATGCTATTCTCTTCCTCACTTACTAAACCCCTGTCCTCTTCTAGTTCATAAAGAAGCCTAATGCATTAGGAATTTTGCACATTGTTTCCCTTCCCTGGAAGACTCTGCTCCCAGATACTCTCTTGGCTTGTTTCTCATGGTTCTAGTTTTGCTGAAATATCATTTCCTCAGTGCAACACCCCTGATCACTCCTAGTTACACCTCTGACCACTGCTAATCATATCTCTTTATATTGTTCTACTGGATTTTCTTCTTAGAACCTTATGTCTCAATTTTCTTGTTTTTGAAAGTTTACTGTCTGTCTCTCCCTAGATACAGGAAAGGACCTTATTTAATTCATCTTTGAAACTCTAAAGTCTATAATACTTTAGAACAATTGGCTGTTTTCTCTAATTAATGAGCAGTACTAAAATGAAAATTATTTAGGCTTAATATTTAAAATTGCATGCACACATATTTTATAGCTGAAGCTTAATTCAGTAGCTGTCTTAATTTCAAGATACATTCATCAAAGTTTATGCATTATTTCAGACAAATTACATTTGCCTTTTGCAATTATTTTTTTCATACAGAAACAACAATTAAGTTACATTTAACATTTTCTCTTTGATATAAAATCAATACCAGGACCACTTACTTGAATAACATCTGTATATTTTATAAAAGTATTTCTATGCTATTAGCAATAGTTCTAAAAAATTTCCTAAACATCATCCCATATCCATTATTCCAAATTGTATCTGATAAATATATATGTGTAATTAATATATTTACTTGAATATATTTTGCTTCCAAGAACTTTAACTTAACTAATTCAAAATTATACTAATCAGGTCTTCTTAGGTGTTCACAAACATGAAAACATTCTTTCTTTTGGGCCAACAAATCATAATCAAGTCATTATCAGAATCAATGAATGTGAAGGTCCATCTCCATAAAATCAATATGAATATGAAAAACTATGCATGTAATTTCAGTGTGTTCATGGACTCCACCAAGTTTGCCTACTAACTCAATGGGTTTTGTTACTTTTTCCTCAAGAGTTTTCATTTGTAGTAAACTTTTAAGAAAGAACTAATGAATTTGACTTGGATTCAGGTAAGCAATTTAAATTTTTTATGATTCCCTCATAAAAAGTATATGTAACTTTGGAAGAAGTTGGGTAACTAATAGTTCAATCTTTGTTTCAATAGATATGGTTACATACAAAGTAATAGTCCCAGAAGGATAGATAAAAGGTGGAAACCACAAGAAGCTCTCCTTAATTTGTTATACTCCTGTTCCAATATTTTAGGTTCAACATTAACTTTTTGAGTTTGGAGGAATATGCCATTCTCTTTCTTAAAGATACCAATGTATTGGACTTTTGGTACCATACTGACAACATCTTCTTCATTTTGGATGTTGGCACAAAGAGTCCACTGATAGTTCTTTTAATGTTAGCATGTGACATCAGTGAGGAGTGTGGTAAATATTGTTGAAATAGGCACAAGTCTGTCTTGCTGTAGAACTGACCAATCTCATGTTCTGAACTTTGGGTGAAAGTAATACACATGTTGAATTTTTCCAGCCTGACTGAATTTGAATAAGTATATTATTCAAATATGTTTATGCTTGAGTGTATGGAAACTTTAAAGTCCATAAAGATTTAATAAATTATATTCATGTTGTTTTTATGCATTTTAAGTATTTAACTTTGAAATAAAATAAATTTCTAGATTGATAAAATAACACAATTAAATCCTTTATTTATTTCTTTTCATTATACTGAAATAATAAATCAAATGAACAAGAAAAATGTCAATGAATGATTCAGCATGAAACATTTTTTTCTCAGAAGGTAATGTCAAGAATATTGTGATTATATGCACATTGTATGTACTTGAATTGCAGAAAATCAATGCATTTACCTTTGAAAAGCAGAGATACTCATTGCCTTCAAGCTTCAGTTAGGAGTGGGACCTGATGATCCTACAGAGGTGATCCACTGATTTTGTTAAGAAAGAAAATGAAGAGTCTTTCTAGAAGGAAAACTTAGGTCATTTCTATCTCAACATGTATCTATTCCACAGTGTCTATCCATTAGACACATTAATAATTCTGCCTGCCAGTCTTAACAAGAGTAGAGAATCAGTTTTAAAAAATTCTGAAAATGTCATAAAACCAAAAGTAAGAATGGAATATTTGAAATTGTAACTCACTAGTAGTGAAAACAGAGGTCATTCTCCTCTTTAGTCAGGGATTTGAAGCCATCTCTTGTATATTATATTTTTCCAACCACACTTTAATTTTTAATTAAGATTTAAGTATAATTAGCAGCAAATAAGAAAATGACAAAGCTACAAAAACTTATAAAGGGCAAAGGAAGCAGCCTTTTTAGCCATAGCAAGAAGTGTTAGTCCATGAATTTAGGGAATCATGGTCCTCTTTACCTTCCCCACATTCATCTCCTAGGCAAATTTTCTAGCATTGACATTGCTTTTAGACAATAATAATAATAACAACAACAATAATAATACAGGCATAACTATCAAAACCAGACTGCAACATTCTTCAGAACCAAGAGACCCTCAATAAAGTGATATATATATATATGCACACACACATATGTGTATATATATATATATATATATATATGAAAACAGTAAATTCCAATACAGCACACACACATAAAATTAATTCATTTATCAGAGACTGATACAATTTTGAAAATGCATAATATGCATTTTCCAGAAGGAAGCAGAGGGCAACAGAAACTATCTGTTGCTATTTAACCTGTGGAAATGAAACAATGAATTATGAAATTCACATAATATATGAAGTATAAGTGAAAAACAAATGCCTTCTCAAAAAAGTTGGTCAATGACCCAACATATAGATATTTATATGTATATTTTATATATAATAATAAAAATCAGCTTGCATGAGGGTCATAGTCCATCTACTTTGAAGTTATATCACACATACTATAAGCAATTTACAGAATGTGTCAAGTTTGCATATACAGGAATTGCAAAAGGAATTAAAATACATTGAAATATAGAACACTTATAATGTGTTTATATGACTTCCTAGGATTGACAGGGATTGGCTATAATCAACACTTGCCATCATTGAGCAGGAACTATAATCAATAAAAAGGAGAAAAAAATCAAGAAAAAAAGGGAAAATAAAGAAATTGTTTTGTTATTTCTTATTTAAAATAATGTTCTCCTTGTTGACTTGTAGTGTTGGTAATTTTGTTCTCATCCCAAAACAGGGCTTCTTTTTGATGATAGTTTGTGTTTCATAGCTTTTAGATCTTGGTTTCCTGCAGAAAATGGTCTTTTAGTAGGAAACCAGTAGTATCCATGGTAAATGTTTACTATCCTGATGACTTTCAGCCCAACCCCTGACGGTCAGCGAGATGATGCTTTAAGTAGCAAAAAGAAGGGGGGAAATAGATCTTGCTATTAGAAAATGTCCTATCATTTTCACACTAATTGTCTTGAAATGAAAGATCAGTGATTTAAAGAACGTAATATGAACAAAGCGTGTGATAGCCTCTTCATTTATGCTTCCGAAAGCAGGTGCTCCTTGGGTAGGTAACTAGAGTACAGTGGGTGAAGAATGGTGCTTGGAGTTTAGGGTCAACTTTGCTGTCCGCTCCGTAGATTTTACAGGCGATTTGCTCTTTGCTTTAAGAAGAGAAAGTGATATTGGAAAAAAGTCAGCACTTTAGATTAAAGCAAAGCACCCTTCACAAAGCCACAAACAAGAAGCAGGACAGAAAGTCCATGGCTTGTAGCTATCCTCGCACCTGCGGAAGAAGTTATAAGATATTCGCTCATCTTGAAGATTTCCAATGCTCCTTATTAGGCTGTTTTAAACACATACACATATATATTTAATTAGCTCGCCAGCTTGGCTCTGGTGCTCATGAATGTCTTGGCATGCACTGCAAATAACAACATACAGAGTGTTTCAGTCCCAGGAAGTCGGTCTTGTTTGATTTGTCTGTTTTTAAACAATGCCAGCCTACCGTCTGGACCACTGAGAGGAACAAATCTAGATACTTCACCTCAACTAAGTTTTTTAGGACAGTCCCTAAAGTCATTGGTTGTTCCTATATTGGTAGCTAATAACACAGCCCCTGTTTCACTCCCTCATAAGAACTAACTTATAGGAAGCAGAACCAATTTTGAGAATGCAGGCTTCCCCAAGATAGGACAACTTGTAGGATGAGTGCTTTGGGGCATTTTCTTTTAGAGTACGTCATTCTTAACATTCTATCATTGAAATCATAGGAAAAGTTAGTGATGCCAAGAATTGATAGTTTTAGGGACCCCTGATGTGCAGGCAGTTGAGTGCAAGGCTGTGAAGCTGTCCGCGGCCTCTGCAGCGCGGTTCGATTCCCGGCCGGCCAGGGAGATTGGCTGGGCCACATGGCCCAGCAGACCTCTCCTGCTTTGCTTGCTGCTACCCTCAGCAGTGTATTTCGTCAGTCTGCCTGTTGTGTTCCCCACTCTGTCTCTGGTGAATCCTCTCACCATCCCGCACATCTGGCCTGTACGCCAGTTCTTGTAAGCATGAATAAATAAAATCTTAAAAGAAAAAAGAATTGGCAGTTTTAGGAGATCTCTAAATTAAATTATATTTTCACATTTTCCTCCTATGTTATCCAATAAGCTTCTAGCTACAAATGCATATTAAACACCTTTATTAATGAAAAAACAAAAGTATGATAAGGCTCAAAGCATTTCTTGCTTTTTTTTTAATTGGAGAAAAATTAAAAAAAAAAAGGTTTGAATAGAAAAAAGGTAGGGGAATTCAGCCTTTTAAATATATCAAATAATTACACTCAGGTCAGTACTGGCAGCGATAAAAATTGAAGTAAAAATATAATCATTCAGAGTGTCACTATAATATAAATTTTGGGGCTTTGAAGTGGTTATTCAGTATAGTTACTTCAGTGTTGTCATGGATTTGCCTTATTGGTAAGAGAGACCTATAGCTAACAAAATCAATGTTCCTTCACCTATGACTGAAGACCCAGCAGGTAGTGTTGGGTCTCTGGAGGATGTTCTTCATCAAGATGCATGGCAAAGCTCAAAATGTAACAGTGATAGATAGTGCACATGCAGCTTTAAGCAAAAAGTTCATGCAAAGAAAATGTATGCACTCTCTTAGAATCACTAGCATCAGAGCTTCCCAAAATTGAATTCATGCTCTTGTTATCTTTTGAAGAGAGATCCTTTGGGTTTCATTTAATGAAAAAAAAAAAAGTGATCACATGGGTCTTTAAATAGCCAATGGCAATTGACATAAAATATCTGATTGTGAATGCAAGTTTAAAAATTGCCGAAGACAATGAAACTGAGTAAAATGATTCCCTCTTCAAAAAAGATTTTTTAAGAAATAATTGTCTCTTTTATAGCATGTGCACTGCAGATTGGCTCAAACTTACTGAAACTGACCCTTGCTCAAATAATCAATCCTTCATAGGCAGTGCCTGACCCCATCATTCCTTAGGGAACAGCTGCTTCACTTTGACCCAACATTTCCTATTGTGCAATGTCCAGCATGTGCAAGTTAAAACAGAATTTACATGAGCATAATAATTGGAAATAAAACCAATTTTATGTTATAAAGAATATTTTAAAGTTACCAATATTGAACTACTGTTTAATATACAATATAACATTGAAATACAGAACTTTTTTTCTCAGATTATAGTCATTCATCCACTCTAGGTTTGCGAATTCCCTTCTGTATTTTTATGTAAGTAAAATTCATTTCTGTTAAGTCAATTTTATTTTTTCTGTACAGTAAGTTCTAAAGTAAACTTGTTTCATCATCAAATCATTGATTTTTTCCTTTTTCTATGTTTTATTTATATCATAAATAAAAAGATGTTTGCCATTACATTTGCTGTCCTGAAGATTTAGTGAAATCTGAGAATCTAAAATGCTGTAATTTGTGCTGCAATAATTTTCCATGTAACTATCATAATAATTTTCAGATGTAGTCTATTGCTACTATAGCATTACATTTTCACAATATCTGTTATGGTTTATTTTTAGAAAGTTAAAGCAGTTTTTTTTTTTGCAAAAAAGCAAACTTTGGCTAATCATGTTTCATTGTCATTTTTATAGATAAAAGAATTTTATATTTGTGACAGTGAGATCCAGAATTGCATTCAAGAGTCCTAAGTTCTAAGTTCCTTTTCAGCTAGGCATGTCTGAGATCTCAAATAAGACACATTTCTCCTATGTTTTCTCAAATAAGCATACAGACTGTCGGTGTATTATCTTCTTTTTCCCCATATTATTGTATAAAACTTTGTGTTGGGATCAGATCACCTGTTTTGTTTGATTTGGCTTCTTTTACTCCATGTTCAGCCCAAGTAGGATAACTGTTATCCTCCTCTTACAACTACTCATTGAAAAATCATTGTCTTCGAATAAACTGCTGCCCACTTTGTCCAATCACACCAGCTAGTTGTAATTGCTCTCTTCGCTAACCTTCAGCAGTATTTTGGTGTTGCTTCTCTTATGGTCTCAATATGATCTATGTTTACTTGTAATTCATTACATTCATATCTCACTGATTATATTCTAAAGTTTATTAAAAATGTAAAATTTCAGCATTTTTTAGTTGCTCTCAGTATCTTAACAATTCCTTTGCCCCTAAAGTGAAATATCCTGTAAATAAGAAAAGAGATGTTATATCTAAATAGTTCAAAGAAAGTACAGGCAGCAGGCCTAGTTGAAAAATAGCCTAATAGATATTTCTCTTACTCAGAAAGCCATTTTGTGATGGGCTTTTCCTTCCATTTAATAATGATGCTTTCATTTGTTTTTATGCCTCAAGGATTCCATAGTACTCTCTCAGATGTAATTGCCTATGTCTTTGCAAGGCAGAGGCAGTATTTTCTCCATTTTGCAAATGGAAAAGTCTAAGAAATCTTCATAGAAGTCTAAGTGCAGAAACTGTGCTACCATTGATCAGCCCTTTTACACCTCATGTAATAGTCAGTGTCATCTCACTTTCACTGAGATGTGGACAAGCAAACATTTCTAAATGAGTTTGACCTAAGAGAAATATAAAAAAAAAATGCTTAAAATATTTTCTCTTCACCATAGTTATCATTTCAGAGAATAACATAAACATTCATTTTTTTCTATAAAAAAAACAAAACAGGGCCTCCCTGGTGGCACAGGCCGTTGAGAGCTGCACTGTGAAGCTGTCCGCAGCCTCTGCAGCGCAGATTCAATCCCGGCCAGCAGGAGAGAAACCCATATGGCGCGGCAGACCTCTCCTGTCTCACCTGCTGCTCCCCTCAGCAGTGTATTTCTTCTGTCTGCCTGTTCTGTTCCCCACTCTGTCTCTGGTGAATCCTCTCACCTTCCCGCGTATCTGGCCTGTACCCTGGTTCTTGTATAAATAAATCAATCTTTAAAAATAAATCTTAACTAAAAAAAAAAAAAAATTAAATCACCATGCCCAAGACCTGGCTTGTTCAGCGATCGGGTGGTGAGGTGTGTTAGTATACCACTACATCATTAGAGTCATAGCCACAGAGAGCTGGGTCCCCATCACCTGGCCTTATTGAACTGAGCACAACTTCCCATTGAATAGTCAGCCCAGCCCCAAATCTGCATGCTTGACAGAAGAAGTTAGGCTCCTCTCAAAACCATTTTTAATTGTCCTTTTGTCTCTGTGCTTGCAATTGGGAGACTGGAAGACAAGTTTCACAATGCCACCTGGCTCTCCTTGTCCATGTCAATCTCCAAAATGACTGGAATGTGTTGAGTGTCTATGGTGTGCTAGGAGTATTCAGTAGACACATTGCATGCATTGCCAGGTCATCCTTTCAATAACCCTGCTCAGTCGATATACAGATCAGGAGAATGCATCCCAGTGACATGGAATAACTGGCCCATGTTACATGAGTGACAGGTGGTAAATGGAAGGCACAGAAATGAGGAAGGGCAATGCAGTGAGACCATTAGGACAACAATGCTCTTATTTATCCAGCAAGCCTTCCAAAATATCCCATCCCCACTTTTATTAAATCAGGATGTTCAAATGTATACTACTTTTCCTTTTTTATTTTATATATTTTTACATCATTTTTTATTTTTGCACAATGTATGCATTTTCATCTTGGTTATAGCCCCCATACAATTCCCACCCCCCCTTGTTTTGATCCTACTCCCCCTTCCTGCCCACCCTTCAGTGTGCCTCTGGTTTATAGTTGCTTGTTGTTATATCATAATGTATTTGGTACACTATGTGGTGCATGAGAAATGTTACTTATTAATGTTTAGGAAACCTGAGAGGCTGATGTCTTCATATCCAATATTTATCAGTTCAGAGTTGAGAATGGAAGCTTTATATCAAATATTTATTTTTCTCTAAGTCATATTACATCAGTGTATTTTCTCTGAAGAAAAGTAGTGCACAGAGCACTTGACTACTTGGAAAGATGATAAGAAGATCTGGGTATTTCATTTCAAGATTAAGTGGCGCATTAAGGCAACTATGCATATAAACTTTACCAGCTTCAAATAGCCACTTTCTCTTGGCTTTGAGTATTTTCTGTTGGAGTAACTTCTTAGATGACTGATACTTTTAGTTGGTTCAGATAAGGGGAGTAGTCACAATTCAGGGCATACAGGTGTGATCCTACATAAGTTTTCCTTTCCTTCCTTGTTTGAATAGCTAGTAGAATAAAGACAGAAACAAAATAGAGAACAAACAATTTCTTTCTTGTTGTGTCTCCATGGTCTGATTCCAAAATTTTTAATTTGTGAA